ACTCTCTGATGATAGATCAATAAGGACTCATTTAAACACACATGGAAACCTGCAAAACTCTATCCACAACCTACTTGTAGAAAACACAAGTATAGTAGCCTCATCCACATGGATAAAAAAAAAAAATAAATAAAAATAATGGAAGCCTGAATAATAAAAAAGAAAAAAGCAATATTCCATAAGATCAACTATGAACCCGACCACAATGTGCTGCCTGTGTTTGAAAAATAAAAAAAACATCCCCATCACTCTAATATATATATATATATATATTATATACACATTTAGTTAAAAATAAAAAAAACATCCATGATAATGGCTAATAGAATAGCCAAAAGCATTCAGATATATAGAACATGCAGGCAGTTTTTACACACTCTATATCCAGAAAAGAAATCATTTATATGAACACAAGAAAAATTGAATAAAATGCTAAATCACAATACCTTTTCAGTCATTTTTAATGAACTGGTATAAAAGATTGATATATATATATATATATATATATATATATATACATAGTGTGTGTGTGTGTGAATTGGGATCAAATATGGATTAGAATCCAACAATATGATAGGATAAAAAACAAATAGGAAACTTTTCTCAACCTAATATGTCTCCCTTTTATTAAAGCTTCATCAGAGATTGAGATATGGAGAAAGAAAGAAATCCTGGTATTTTTTATTTTTGTGTTTGTTTTCCATTGATTAAGCAGGCTTCACATGCATTTTACTTGTTAAGCAGCATTAGTATAAGTTATAGCATTCTGAACTCATGGAGATATAACAAATTCTTTCGAAGCTCTAAAAAACAACAGATTCCAAACCTAACTAAAAAAGCATAAATATTGCTTTATGTATGTAAGTGTATCATAATTCTAGTTTGTCTATGTAGGCTTCAGATGATAATGTATCGTCATGTGTGTTTGTGTTTTGTAGATTTTATTTATGTTTGGTGTTTGTCCACATGTTGATTTGGGGGGACATTTTTATGTAAATACTGGTTGTGGTAGATAAACATGTTAGATTCTTTAAGAATGGATTTAGTAAAGATTGGTGATGTAATATAGTGTTACTGATGTGTATTTATAGTTGGTAAAATTTTTCTCAGGACTTTTTCTTGTTTTTCTTCTTAATGAGGGTGGCATTAGTAAAGTCAAACTATGGCCAGTAAAAGCAAAATTATGTGTTGATTAATGTTGACTTTTCCAAGTTATGAATAATCCTTCTTAAACAAGGAGGAAATTCTGTTAGTACAGGAAATCTAGACCAACCTTTCAAATTTTTAAAGTCATCATCAGGGTAGTTAGAGACAACTGATGAGTTTAGTCAAATTTTGAAATTTTCTTCCAAAATGAACTTCGAACAATTTCTCAAAGAATTTCCTTTTTGTCTGAGAATTATTTCTAACTTGGTACAGTTAATCATTAAAATTAATCAACACAAAATGTGTTATTTTGCATAGTATTTGCCTTCAAGAGCATTGTCTGCCTAATTTCACAGTGTACATGTGTGTGTGTGTGTATATATATATATATAGAGTGGACACCGAGATCAATACCTTATGGCAACAGTCTGTTTCATGCATGAACACAATCAAGGCCTGAATATTGCATTCAAGCATGAAACAGACTTTCACCACTTAGTGTTGACCTCAGAGTCCACACTTATATTTACATATGCTCTATCCCTACACTGAGCACTTTTACCTATAAGTATAACATCCCTTAAAGAAATATTTTCTTACATATAAAAATAGATAAAAAGATGCTGAGAAAGAAGCTGACAGCAAAATAGAGTGAATGAGAGATGAAGAGATATGAGCAGGCTCTAATAGACAGGAACATGCTGAAATAGATTTATAGATAAATAGAAACATACGTGTGTGTGTGTGTATATATATATATATATATATATATATAGAGAGAGAGAGAGAGAGTGCGATGGATAAATTGTCATCTAAATTATGCAAAAATGAAAATAACACTGAGATCATCTTATTTTAACAGATATATTTACCAAAATTATAAAAAATATTTTGAAAGTCTAAAGTCTTTCAAGATATTTTTTTTTTAAAATTTATTCAATAAAATCATCATTGGCTTCAACCACAGCCTAAAAGACAACTTTGAAATCTCCTGCAATTCTTCTGGACTGTCTCGTTGTTTAAGTTGGTGAATACGGCTATAATCCTTGCCTTCAGTTCATTGTTGATGTTACAAGGAGTTTTGTTGGTCTTAGGCAGCTAGCCAATATCCCTGTTGCAGACACATGCTCAGGCAACATTTGAGTTTGTTCAACAGTCACAGAGCCTACATTTGGCTTATACAACAGCACTATATATATATATATATATATATATATATATATATATAAATAAACAAATGTCTGATACCACTGAACTTGTAAAAAAATTTTAACAGACAAAACCACATTTTCCCCCCTAAAGGTAGCATTTTTTGGCATAAACATTACTGAAAGAATCGTTGGCAACTTATTAAAATATTAACAACATTTGCAGAGTAATAAACATACTGGGAAGAAACAAGTAACTATGACTAAAACACAATTTAATATTTAAATAGGAGAAAAAGCAATAAAAAGAGGGGAAGACAAATGATAAAAACCAGAATAAATAGTTCCAATGTGTATAAGAAGGAAAAGACAGAATTACAAACCTCCCAGTAAACCAAGAGAATGGATAAATTTCTTCTTCTGTTGGCACAAAGACAGTAGGAGTAATTTAATATATACTGCCTCTAAAGTGCATAAATGTTTTTTGCCCACCCTGCTTTGCCCAAAATGGAGAACAACAAATCTATATATTTGTATACACAATCTGGATTATCTAAAAGGTCTATTGCAGAATCCAGTACTCTCTGCAGATGACATGTATTATAGGTAATAATACCCTGTTTAATATTACATGTTGTGCAAGCCACGTTTCAAGGCACCAATTTGTCTGAATCAATACATATATAGAGATTTTATTGCCAATATGTTTCACCTTCATTAAAAAGGTGTCTTCAGGTCAGAAAGAAAGAAATCTGTGTAAAACTGTGAATGGGAGTTTGCTAGGTTGTCATCTTCCGTTTGGAATGAAAGAACAAAACTGTGGATGACACCAACCTCATAAACAGACATTAATGGTTTTAATATTAAATAAATACACACAGACATTTATGTTTGATTCTGACCTGAAGATATCTATCGAATGAAGGTGAAACATGTTGCCAATAAAAAGTTCACTTTTGTTTGGATACATCCTACCAATATATATATATATATATATAAGCTCATTGCACACAACAGAGAAAGGAAAATTATTAACATATTGTAAAGGAGATCTATACAGACAGCAGTAGCCAAGAGCACTCAATTCATAATTGAAGAGCAGTACATTAATAGCAGCAGCAGGCACTGTTTTTAAAAATTAACCTTTCCCTATTGTGCTCAACAGATCATAAATATGTGTGTGTAAATTCGGATTACCAACACACAAACAGAGAATGTCTCATATCGAGAATATTTCACATTGAACATGAAGAAAAATTAATTATTTTTAATAATATGTAGAAATCTCCACTTTTACCTGAAGACGGTCGCGAGACCAGAAACACGTGTCATAAAATTATGTAAAATAAAGCATAATATTTTTTCTAAATAAATCCACATTACAACCAAAAACGTTTGCGGCACCTCTCTTCTTTTTAATATATATATATATATATATATAGATATATAATCCAAGTGAATCCTAATAATATAAAATATTAAAACTGATCCACAAAAAGAGCTCAATGTATTTATTATAACAGAGCATATAAAATACATAGAATAGAAATCCCAAATTACCTCATTCGAAGAGCTATTTCAGCCCAAAAGACTTACTTATAGGCCTTGTCAACTCAAAGGTGTGATGAAATAAAATAGGAGCTTACAATTTAAATATTCAAAGAATAAAAGAAGAGAGAAGAAAAAGAAAGTGAAAAAGAATAAAAAGCAAGCAGCTTTTCTTCACACCTCTGAGAGTTGAAAAGACCTATAAGTAAGTCTTGTCAGATGAAATAACTTATTTTTCTATTTATATATATATATATATATATATATATATATATAAATAAATAAATATATATATTTATTTTATTTGTTATACTCTTTTTATATAAAATAAATTTTAAACTCAACATCCTAATGAGCCTATTTTTTTCTTTTACCAGAAATTTGTTTTTCTTTTGTCCTATTCATAGGTTTATTGATCTTTCTTTTCTTTTTAATTTTTTTACTAGGATGAGTTTTTTTTTCTTTGTGCTAGAATTTTTTTAAGGTTTAAACAATTTACATATATATATATATATATATATATATATTTCACACAAGTTTCATAAAAGTATACTTTTTTAAAGAGGGATTTTTCAAATAAATTATTAAATTTTTTTCAACAAGGATGCCATAAACCTTTGTCATTTTAAATGAAACTTATATATAAGAGGGATTGCTGCATGCATACACATATATATATATATATATATATATATATATATATATATATATATATATAAGTTTATTTATGTTAAAAGTATACTTTTCTGTTTAAAAGTCTTTATTAAATAACATTTACCAGCCTGAATACATTTTTTTACAAATAGAAAGTTTGAATTATGGAAAATTACACGTGCCTTGACCTGTCCACCAACCTTATGGTAGGAAAGTCAGCATAACCATAATACAGGTTCGAAACTGTCTATGAACGTCATTTTAAATGAAATTCATATATAAGATAAACAGAGCATTTTTTAATTACTTGTATCTATAAAATAACAACATAAATAAAAAATATATATATATATATATATATATATATATATATATATATATAAAAAGAGAGAGAGAGAGAGATAGCAAACTGCTACATACAAACGTGTGTGTACATGTGTGTATAAAAAGACTGAATTAGATGCACACATACCTATATATAGTAATATGTAGAGAGCAATATGATCAGATTTGATGGAGAGACATGAACAGACTGAGAAAGAAAGAAATAAAGATAGGAATATGACAGATAGATGAGAGACAAACTTTAATAAAGAATCTGAGATTAAAAAAATAAAAAGAATGAGACAATGAGAGATGAATAGATATGAACAAGCTGCCACAGACAGGAATATACTGAGATGTTTCTATTTCTCATTTCATAAATCAACAAAATGCTGGAAGATTATAGATAGATAGATAGATAGATACTGGAAGATTATAGATTGACAGGTAGATGCATAGATAGATTTTTTTTTTTTGTTTTTTTTTTAAACATTACGCCCCAGTCAAGGTGGGAAACCACTAGGATGCAGGGGGTTGCAGAAGATTTGGAGTGAGAGCAGATAGGAGTGATAGAAGAAAGTATGAGGAGAAGGATAGTGGGTAAATCAAGGCAACTGGAGATGTCGATTAACATTACATTTGAATAGTTGGAGATTATAGCTCTCAGGGAAACAGTAATAGGGAAGGGTGTTTCACAGGTGAGAGGTGCAAGGTATGAAGCTATTGGAGTAGAAGAGATGGCTACATTTAAAAGTTTCGACAGTGAAAGGGTGAGAGCAGGATGCCAGCCTCATAGGGCGCTTGAATTCATGAAATCTGGGAACCAGTGAAAGCAGCTCATCGGAGCAATTACCATGAAAGTATTTGTAAAAAAGACAGAGAGAGGCAACGACGCGTCTGTGAGAGAGCAACTGTAGACGAGATGCCAGATCAGGACCAGTTATATTACATATCCGCCTCTGGATCTTGTCGAGAACTCCGAGGTAAACAGAAGGTGCCCCAGACCATATATGGCAGCAATACTCCATGCAAGGGCAAATGGTTGATTTGTCTATTTGAAGTATTGATTCCGGGGAGAAAAGAGCCAACTTTCCTTACGGTGGACGAAGCAATTGACTCAATGTATTTGTTCCATCTCAGGTCAGCAGTCAATGTGAGACTGAGCAGATGCAGAGAATTGCTCTCAAGAAGTTGAGCATCAGACATTCTAATGATACAGAGATAGATAAATAGAGAGAAAAATAAACAGATCGGTAAAGAGATAGATAGGAATATATATATAAGTATATAATTGGTATACATGGAATGAATTCCAATAACCAACAATTACTATTCTTAAAAGAGTGCTCAATTTTTTTTATAAAAATAATTATATCTGCTCTACTTTCTATTGAGCACTCTTTTAAGAATAGTAATTGTTGGTTATTGGAATTCATTCCGTGTATACCAATTATATACTTTGATATTAGCTCCTATTACTGTCGAGCCCTGTCTATTCTATTCTTATAATTCATGTAAATTTATAATTATTAGTTAGTATAAATTATTTTTTTAATATTACGTATTTAAAGATCTGAATAGCTATTAGAGCAGGATTTACGTTTGTCAAGCTTTTGAATCTTTCTATACTTCATTTTTGATTGGTTATTCTATTTTTTTTGTATCGTTACTTAATGAAACTTTTTAAACCCCCATAGTGTAGGAATCGGCTATTTTTTACTTATGTTATAATTTTTTATAAAAATAATTATGAATATATATATATTTATAAACCGGTAAAGAGATAGATAGGAATATTTATTTTATATATAACAACATCACTTGATAAGACACAGAGTGTGTTGAAACAAAATAGGCTATATTTTGTAAAGATGATATATATATATATATTATATAACATACTTATGTTATAATTTTTTATAAAATAATAATATATATATATATATATATATATATATATAGAAAGAATATATATATATATATATATAATAGATAGATAGGAATATATATATATATATATATATATATATACGGTAAAAGGTAAAGAGATATATATATAGATAGATATATATATATATATATATATATATATATATATACGGTAAAGAGATAGATAGGAATATATATATATATATATATATATATATAAATATATATATATATATATATATATACGGTAAAGAGATAGATAGGATATATATATATATATATATATATATATATATATATATATATATAAAATAAAGAGATAGATATGGAATATATATATATATATATATATATATATATAGATAGATAGATGAATATATATATATATATATATATATATATATATATATATATATATAGATAGGAAATATATATATATATATATATATATACGAGATAAAGAATATATATATATATATATATACGTAAAAGATAGATAGGAATATATATATAGGATATATATATATATAAATATATATATATATATATATATATATGTAAAGAGATAGATAGGAAATAGATAGGAATAGGAATATATATATATATATAATATACGGTAGTAAAATAGATAGAATATAGATATATATATATATATATATATATATATATAATATATAGATATAGATATATATATATATAAATATAAAAAAGAGATAGATAGGAATATATATATATATATATATATAAAAATATATATATATATATATATATATACAGAGATGAAGAGGAACAGTAAGTCACCAACCAGTTTAGGTAGCTACAAACTGAGGTGGAAAATAAAGAAACAGACTTTAGTAAATTGAAAGAAGCTGTGGTCGACATTTGCAAATCTTGAGAGAGATGACAATGTAAATAAAGTGAGGTTAATAGTAACAAGCTAAGAAATATGTGAACTGCAGCTGATAAAGACAAGGAAGTAGAAATAGTTTGAGTGTTTCAATCATAAGTGAGGTAGACAGAGTGGCAGAGATCTGCAGTAACAGCCAAATTGAGGTAGACAACTTCAGCCAGAGTGAACAAGAACAAAGACAGAAATATCTCAGGTGTGTTACTTGAGAGAAAACAAAAAAAAGAATTATTTTTCCTCTAAGCAGACTGAACTAAGACCAGAAATTAGATAAAGAGACAGATGAGTCAGAAATACAAACAGGTGGGATCAAGCGAAAATGTACTCAGCTTGGGGAAAACGTAATGACAATGAAGAGAATGTCCTGGTGAAATTGTTAGGGTCCTTTTGGAGGTGTCAGGATGTAAAGAAGAGAAAAAAGAAAAAAAATAAGGACCCAAAAGAGAGAAAAGGTTTTCTTTTTCTTTTCTCTTTTCTTTCTGCCAGTTTGTTTTCTTTATCTTCTATTTTATGGATGCATTGAGGCCTTAGTAATTAGATGTAGTGACCCATGATTTGGATAAGGATTACTCCCTAAGGGAGAGAAGATACATTAAACGTACATTATCTTGTCAAAATAAATAGACAGTAATCTGCCCCATGAGGTAAGAGGGGGGTGTATCCCTTAGCAGTGTGAATTCAAGTTTATTCTAAGCCTGTTATAATATTCCATGAAAGATAGCAGACTGAGAATGCTTTAAGGAATCTAAAAATATTCAGTGGGGGTAAGGGGTAAGAATTAAAGAGTATAAAAATTGAAAAGGGTTAGAAATTCCTTCTGTAAGTTTGAGATGAGTCATTATTTCAAGATTGTCTCTTATTATTATTTGACTTGCTATCATAACATTCAGGTCAATCCATCTTATGGCATTCCAATATTAAACCATTTTTTGGGGAATTTATACAATGGACAGAAGCTAAAATAAGGAAGCTAGATTTTGTAAGGGTGTGTAATGTTAATGATCCTGACCTGGCATCTCAGCTTCAGTTACTTTCCCGCCACATGCCTTTCCTATGTTTTTTTTTAATAAGTAATTTCATTGTGGTTGTTCTAACGAGCTCTCCAGCTCAGTACCTTGACCACATAAATTTAAACATGCTGAAAATTTTGTTAGAAACAAAAAAAAGAGTACTGATGTCTGTCCTCCTATATGGCAGCAAATACTTGACAATCTCCTCAAAGATGAAGAAGAGATCTTAAGCAACAGAAATGTGGTTCTACAGAAAGATGCTGAGGATACCACAAACCGAACAAGTGGTTTTGGAGAAAATGGAAGCAAAAAGATAAACTTATACTTAACATCAGGAAGAGACAGTTGAGGTTTCTAGGATACATAATGAGGACGGAGGGCTTGGAAAATCTGATACACACAGAACAGATTGAAGGAGGATAGAGGGACAGAGGAAAGCATAATATACTTGATTAGTTTGAAGAAATGGATGATAGAACAGGGGTGGGAGAAATAGCAGACAGACAAAACTTATTAAAAGCTACAAGGGACTGGAAGATGTTGAGGGCTATGATCGCCTACATTCTGAAGGGACATAACACATAAAAGACGAAAACTATGTTAGCTACTCGGCCTCAAAATTTACTGTTGAAATATGTAGATATAACCTATTCAAATATTTTCTTTTCTCACACTTCTCATCTGTGGAACTTTCTTCTGTTTTCTTGCTTCCCTGTCACTTACGATCTTCAAAAATTTAAATGCAATGTCAATCACCATCTTCTGTCTTCCTGGGCCATGTTCTTTATTGTTTTATTTTCGTCTCTCTAAAGTCTTCTCAATCAGTTTCACTCCCGATAAACCCTTTCTTCTTAGTACCATTAACACCACATTAGGGGTGAATTGATAAAAAAAAAAAAAAATTACCCCAACCCTTTTTGATGATTTTATACTAGTGAATACTTATATTATTTACATTGTTCAGACTGTTGTCCTCATCTTTATTGTCATATCCACAATGTTTCAGCTGTTGTATGCGCCAACCTTCTTCAGGTGATATATGTTGAAATTTCAAACTAAATGCTTTATTTTGTCTACTGGAGTAATTTTTGTTCACCTCTACTGTGGCCAGGTATTGAACTCATAACACTTTGGGACAAGTCAGTGGAATACTTTTATCCAGTAGGCCAGTTCCGAGTTGAATACCTGGTCATAGCAGAGGTGAGCAAAAACTTGGAGAGTTACTAAAGGGAAATAACTGAAACTGAGATATCCAGAAAAGGCATGGCGTGTGGAACTAGATCAATCTACCCCAATGGATGAATTAAAGGGTTCAGTTTGAAATTCCAATGTATATCACCTGAAGAATGCTGGAACATACAACAGCCGAAACATTGTGGATATGACAATAAAGATGAGGTCAACAGTCTGAAATATGTAAATAGTGTAAATAAGTAAAAAGGAATTTTCATTAACTTGTCTATTTGATTGATAGAAACAGCTGCCTTGGGGAAAAGTCCATTTAGCACTCGGAATCTCCCCCTGCCAAACCTTTGTTTCCCCACTTTTTCTTGACTCTTATCCTGCCCCCTACTCCACAATGTTTCCTGTGAATAAATTTTGAGTCAATGTCACTACTATAATTTTCTGTAGTTAAAAATTAAAAAAAAAAAAAAAAGCTGCATTGATGAGAATATGAAAGTAAGATGCAATTTAGAATCTCTTAATATTCCCTGACATGCGGAGCGACATTTTTAGATCGAGAGGTGGGGCTGGATACAATATGAAAAGTAAAAAAGCACAAAATCTACAAGTGAAGCAGATTTCATCTCAGGAGTAATGACAAAAAGAGAATGAAGGAAAGAGGCATGAAAGGGAGAAGGAAAGGGAATAAGAGAGAGAGATGAGTAAAGGGAATGAGAGAGAGAGTGAGGAAAGGAATGAAGAGAGAGAGAAAAAGGAATGAGACATATAAGAATAAAGAGATAAAGAGAGAGAGGAGTAAAGGGAATGAGAGAGAGAGTGAGAAGGAAAAGGAAGAAGAGAGTAAGACAAAAGGAAAGGGAACATATAAGAAAAGAAGAGAGAAAGAGGAGAAAAGCAAGGGAACGAAAGAGAGAGAGAGAAGAGAGGAAGCAAAGGGAGAGAAAGAGAGAGGAGAGAGAGAGAGAGCAAAGTGAGAGAGAGAGAGAAGCAAAGGGAACGAGAGAGAGAGAAAGGGCAAAATGGGAAACGAGAGAGAGAGGGCAAAGGGGGAGAGAGAGAAGAAAGGGAACGAAATGGGAAAAGAGTAGAGAGAGAGAAGAAAGGGAAAAGAGAGAAGAGAGGAAAGGAGAGAGAGAGAAAGGCGAAATGGGAACGAGAGAGAGAGAAAGGCAAAATGGGAACGAGAGAGAGAGAACAAAGGGGAACGAGAGAGAGAAAAGGCAAAGGAACGAGAGAGGGAAAGGAAAAAGGGAAGAGAGAGAGAGAGAGAAAGGAAAATGGGGAACTAGAGGAGAGAGAAAGGAAAAATAGGAAACTAGGAGAGAGAGAAAGGAAAAATGGGAAAAAGAGAGAGAGAAAGGCAAAAGGAAATTAGAGAGAGAGAGATGCAATGGGAACAAAAGAGAGAGAGAAGTAAAATGGGAACTAGAGAGAGAGAGAGGCAAATGGGAACGCAGAGAGAGAGAAAGGCAAAATGGGAAGAGAGAGAGAGAGAAAGAGAGAGAAAGCAAAGAAATGGAGAGAGAGAGAAAGGCAAATGGGAACCAGAGAGAGAGAGAGAGAGAGAGAGAAAAGGAAACGAGAGAGAGAAGGGGAACTAGAGAGAGAGAGAAAGGCAAATGGGAACGAGAGAAAAGGCAAATGGGAACGAGAGAGAGAGAAAGGCAAAATGGGAACGAGAGAGAGAGAAAGGAAAATGGGAAAGAGGAGAGAAAGAAAGGGAACAAATGGGAAAGAAGGAGATAAGAGAGAAAGGCAAAATGGGAAAAAGAGAGAGACGAAAGGCAAAATGGGGAAGAGAGAGAGAGAGGAAAGAAAATGGGGAAGGGAGAGAGAGAGAAAGGGCAAATGGGAAACGAGAAAGAGAGAGAGAGAGAAAGGCAAAATGGGAAAGAGAGAAGAGAAAGAGAGAGAGAGAAAGGGAACAAAAAAGAGAGAGAGAGAAGCAAAGGGAGAGAGAGAGAAAAGCAAAGGGAACGAGAGAGAGAGAGAGGCAAAGGGAACGAGAGAGAGAAAAGGCAAAGAGAGAGAGAGGAAAGCAAAGGAAGAGAGAGAGAGAGAGAAGGAAAGGGAAGATAGAGAGAGAGACAAAAGAGAACAAAAGAGAGGAGGAAAGGAAGGAAGACAAAAGAGAACGAGAGAAGGAAGAAAAAAGAGAGAGGAGAGGAAAGAGAAAGGAACGAAAAGAGAGAGAGAGAGAGAAAGGAAAACGAAAAGAGAGAAAGGAAAAGGGAAACGAAAAGAGAGAGAGAGAAGCAAAGGGAACGAAAAAGAGAGAGAGAGAAGCAAAGGGAACGAAAAGAGAAAGAGCAAAGGGAAGGGAGAAAGAGAGAAGCAAAGGAATGAAAGAGAGAAGGAAAGGAAAAAGGAAAAGAGAGGACAAAAAAGGGAAAATATAAAAAGAGAGATAAAAGAGAGAGAGAAAAGCGAAGGAAAAAGAGAGAGAGAGAGGGAGCAAAGGAACAAGAGAGAGAGAAGCAAAGGGAACGTAAGAGAGAGAGAGCAAAGGAAGGAAAAGAGAGAGAGGCAAAGGAATCTAGAGAGAAGCAAAGCGAACGAGAGAGAGAGACGGAAAGGGAACGTGAAAGGGAAAGGGAACGTGAGAGAGAAAGAGAACGAGAGAGAGAAAGAGAACGAAAGAGAAAAGTGAGAGAGAAAGAAAAAGGAAAGAAAGAGAAAGAAAAGGAAAGAGAATGAAAAGAGAAAGAGAACGAGAGAGAGAAAGGGAAAGTGAGAGAGAAAAGTAAAGGGAAAAAGAGAATGAAAAGGAAAGGGAATGAGTGAGAGAAAAAGCAATAGAACAAGCGAGAGAGAAAAAACATGGGAACGAACGAGAGAGAAAAGACAAGGGAACGAGCGAGAGAGAAAAGACAAGGGAACGCAAATGAGAAAGAGAGGAATGGAAATGGGAGCAGAGAGTTGAAAAGATAGAGTAAAAGAGAAAGTGAGAAAGAGTAACAGACAGAGGGGAAGGGCAACTTTTTTTTAGACTATCATGATCTGTATATCTTTTAAACACGTGTGAAGTCCCTCACTCTTTTAGAAGTGGGCATATATACTGAGGGAAAGAAAACAGGGCGCAAAACACTGGTTCCCAGACTCCATGAATTCAAGCGCCATATGAGGCTGGCATCACGCTCCCACCCTTACACTATAGAAATTTTTAAATGTAGCCATCTCTTCTACTCCAATAGCTTCATACTTCACACCTCTCGCCAGTGGAACACCCTTTCCAATTACTGTTTCCCTGAAAGCTATAATCTCCAACTATTCAAATGTAATGTCAATCGACATCTCCAGTTACCTTGATTTACCCACTATCCTTCTCCTTCATCCTTTCTTCTATCACTCCTATCTGCTCTCGCTCCAAATCTTCCGCAACCCCCTGCATCCTAGTGGCTTCACGCCTTGCTTGGGGCGTAATGCTTAAAAAAAAAAAAAAAAAAAACATGCACACTCTCATATATATATATATATATATATACACACTGAGGTGTCTTGTTGGTCATTTCTTACTGTATTTAGGATTTCTTTTGCATATGGTCTCAAACTTTTGACCAACTAGTATTTAACATAATTTCTCAGGATTCAAATTTTGCCAATTACATGCTAAAAAAAAAAAAATTTCATTTTGATTTTTTCTCATTTTTCGAAGCACTAGTGAAATAAGTTGTTGAGTCTAACAACACAAAAAGGAATATTTTCTCTTTATTTTCACTGGCTTTAAGATTTTGGACAGCTATATATATATATATAAATAAAATGCACACTCATATATAGTGCCACTCAAAAGTTAACAACACATTACAAAAAATGTTTTTTTAGGTATTTCTAATACAGTTAGGTTTTAATTTTATATATATTCAGTCAATCAATCAGATTTTTTTTTAAATCTTCAAAAAGTATCCCACAAACAAAAAACAATATTTAGTAACTCAAAAGTTTACAACACATTTTTTTTCTGTTTACAACAGCTTTTTTTTAATAAAAGTGTTCAAATCTTACTAGAATGTTCCAAATTAGGATGTGTTTTTTTTTTTAGAACATTTCAGATTAATTTTATGATTACTTTTAGGTATGATTAAAAGTATTGCATCATTCTTTTTCTGTCAACCATCCTTTAAACATTGACAAAATCAGAAAAAGCAAAATAATTGATCATGACCTCTGTAAACGTATTGTTGACCTTCATACAAATGGACTTGTTATAAGAAGATATCTAGTCAGTTAAATGTGCCATTGAATTCAGTTGGTATGATAGTTCATCACTGGAAGACGTGTCATTCCATTTGTCCAAAAAAAAAGATCTGGTCGTCCTAGAAAGCTAACGGAATGTACAGCAAGATTATTGGCAAGAAAAGTTGGCAATGAGCCTTGAGTTATGCTTGAAGAACTTCAGGTAGGACTAGAAGTAAGTGGAGTAAAAGTGAGTACAGATACAATTAGTCGTTCACTTCATTGATGTGACATCTTTTTGAGGACTCCAAAGAAAAAAAAACACTTCTTAAGCAAAAACATGTTCTTGCTAGACAGGATTTTGAAAAACAATCATTGTATCAAACTTGCAGCATTTTGGGAAAATGTACTTTGGTCAGATGAAATGAAAATTGAACTTTATGGCAGAAATGCTGTGGCAAAGGTCTGGAGAAAGAAGTGTACTGAATATTTGCCAATGAATACTATCCCAACAGTAAAATTTGGAGGCAGATCAATCATGATCTGGGGTAGCTTTAATGCCCAATGTGTAAGGAACATTGAAATAATAGAAGGTAGGATGAATGGAGCATATTATAGGCTTATTCTGGAGAGAAATTTACATCAGAGTTCACATTCACTGGGCTTGAAACATGGTTGGGTCTTTCAACAAAACAACGATTCTAAGCATACAGCAAAGCTTACAAAATCATGGTTAAGTTCAAATAGAATAGACATTCTAAAATGGCCAAGTCAATCTCCAGATCTCAATCCAATTGAAAATTTATAGGGAGAGCTGAGAAACATTTTATATATTAGAGAGAGAGAGAGAGAGAGTGTGTGCACATATATATATATATATATATATATATATATATATATATATATATATATATAATAATGAAGCCATGTATACTTTCTTAATATGTATATATAGAAAAAGTTGCAAATTAAAAAAAATAATAATGTTTTATTTTTGAAAGTATTTATTTATTTATATATATATATATTTGATATTTCAGATTGCCCTCAATCTTTCAAAAAAAATAACTATTTTTTTTAGAAATAAATTAAAACTACTGTTTGTTTTTTAAACGTCTTCTAAAATATTTATGACGTTAGATTGATATGGAACGTCACTGTTCAGATATTTCTAACCAAATCTGTGATAAATATTTTAGATGTTGTTTAAAAAATTTTTAAAATTTAAAAAATTTTTTAATATATTTAAAAAATAGTTAAACAGTTTTTTGAGGAAAAGATTGAGGTTAAAATATCAAATATATATATAAATAAATAAACAAAATATTTCATAAAATAAAACATTATTATTTTTTAATTTGCAATTTTTTCTATATATATATATATATATATATATATATATAGAGAGAGAGAGAGAGAAAGCCAAAGCACACACACACATTATATATATATATATATGTTTCAGTCAGACAAAATGTAATGAGACCGTGGTCAGGTTTTGTGCATTTCATCTGACTAAAACATTGAAATGGATAAATTCTGTATCAATTTTTTGATGGTTGTCAAAGTAAAATTTCTAATTCCGACACAAACTCAATCTATATACCAGGGTTGAATAAGATTGACAAAGTTTTCGTCAGTTGAAATAGATCTCCCCACCAACCATATGAGGTAATTTGTGATTTTGTTGTGTAGTACTTTAGCTCTTTTATAATAAATACATCGAGCTCTTTTTGTGGATCAGCATTAATATTTTATATTACTAGAATCCACTTGGATTATATACCAATGGATTTGTTACCTATATATATATATATATATATATATCTTATGCACACTCACATATTACATACTCACATACACATATATATATATGTATATATATATATATATATTACGTACACTCACATATATAATATATATATTATGCACATATAAATATATATATATAAACGAACATATATAAACTCATACACACACATATAACTCACATATATATGTATATATAAATTACTCACATATAGATATATATATATATATACTGATCATATGTGTGCATTTCAGAAAAATGACTAACCATCCAAGTACTTTTTTTTAATTGCACTATAGCACTTGCATACCATAAGTTCAGAAAAGAACTTGAATACAAGAAAAATACAATACAAAACTTAACTGAAGTACTTTGTCAATCAATTTCAACATAACATGTATTAGAGAGGGTATGTTACCCCAACACACATTTCATATATATATATATGACAGATAGGGAAAGAAAGTTGAGAAAAAAATGAAGGTAAAGGATAAAATATCAGTAAATTAAAAGAGAGGGAAAAGAACCCCCTATGGTCGTTAAAATCAACCCACACCAACCTCAACACACATAAGCAATAAGCATAGTTGCACAATTATTTATTTTGAAGGATAATATTCCTGACGATCACAGCTGCAAAGAAAAAGTTGATCTAATGCCACCCACATCATTTTGACAGTTTCAGTGTAGAAAGAAGGAAACACATTATCATATATATATATATATATATATATATAATGCTGTTTTAAAGGCACTAGTTATTTCCTGCTTTGAGGATTCTGAAAACACCCCAGTGCATTGTTTAATATTAATTTATTTGCTTGAAAGAAAAATATAATCGAAAACGTCAGACTATAGAAAGAGAATAATTTTAAAAAATTTTTTAAATATACAAAGTAAAAAGCAATTTAAATTTAACATTAAAAAAATTAGGAAATTGCACGTTTATATTACATCCTATACTGCTGCTTTTTATTGCAATAAATTTTATTGTTTTATAGTAATTTATATTCTGATTTTTAACCCACAACTGTCCAGTTTAAAATTCAGTAGTAATTATAAAAAGGAAAATAAAATTCTGGAATTATAGATTCTGAAAAAAAATTTTAAAAATTTGTTAATTATACAAAAATAAATCTTCTTAAGAATACCAATTTTTTAACTTTAACTTTCTAAAATAAAAAATAAAGAATCCAGTATTAATTTTAAGTTTATAAAAGAAAAATAAACCCAATATAAATTACAGGCTTCACCCAACAAATCTATGCTCACATCCCATTTTTGGCATTAAATCTACCATTCATCCATGCTTTGAATATTGCTGCCACATATGGTCTGGTGCTCCAGTTACAGGGTGTGATGAGTAATTTGTCACTATTTTATATTTTTAATTTTGTACATGTACATTGTCTACAGCATAGTATAGTAGGGTCAGTTGGGCACCATCTATGATAAAAAGAGCACTATGATGCAATTCACACTGCCAAAAATTTGTAAACAGCATGCAGTACTGCTTGGCATTCATACCAGAAGCTCCGATATAAACATTTCAGAGCATTTGTGCAGAGGGTTTGGAAAGATTTGGATGAGTCTAATGGTGATTAGAAAGAGGTTTGGAGTGATCGCTAGTGATAGCGACATTATGCCTCCATTCCTCTTCCCACAGGGCCTCAGACTCAACATGGAGGCCTACATCAAGTGGCTTGATGAGGTAGTGCTGCCCTGGGTCAAGACGGTGGCTGCTGGAAGATCCTATGTCTGGCAAAACCCAGTCATGGCTGTCAGACAATTTCTGCGAAACATATCACCTCTTTCATCTGGCAACCTAACTCCTCA